CACCCACGTTGGCCTGGTCCTTGGGACTATACAGAGATCAGTAGTATTATTACTAGTAACTGTGAAAGATTTATTTTCAGAGCTCTAAATGTGAGACCAACTATTGGATCGGGTTCCAATGGTTCCTTGGGCGTTTTCTTCATCTTCTGCGATTCCTACACCAACGATATCATCACAACCTTTCACATAGATGGGAATCTGAGGCTCAGAAACGGGGTTTCATTCACCCCAGATGCCCATGGTGATTTCAGCAGTCACACTGGAGGTAAAGCTATCCCTCAGATGGGTTGAAAAGGCAGGCGAAAGCAAGAGTATGTATGTCTGAAAATCCTAAAACTTCATTAATGAGAGAATCACTAGCTTTCTAAAAGATGTAAACCAGCTTGAAGACCTTACAGTGAACATCAGAAGAACGCCTAGGTAGATGTTTCAAGTAGATCGGGCATAGAAAGTGATGAGCACCGCCCCCTCCAGCTTGAATCTCAGTATACTTTACAAACCTTCACACCTTCTTTTTTTTCTGAGCAGTTTACTTTTTCATCAAGGTAATTAACTCCTTGATGAATGCTTTCGGGCTGAGAAGTTTTTGAGGAAAATTATTACCCTTTCAAAATATCAAGAGAAACAACAGGGCACAATGGGATGGGGGCCTTCTCGAACTTCATAGTTTTCCCCACACTCTCTCGAATATTCAGATGTGGGAGCTTTCAGATAAGGGCGAAGTATGGCGTAATCGTACATGAATAGGAACAGGAGAACAATGACTTGCTATCAAGAGAATCAGCCGAAATTCACGAAAATTGAAGTGTAAGCTACGGGCACCCGCGCTGAAGCCCAATGGGAGGAACTCCACCTCCAAAGCAGAGATTACGGTAGCGGATTTTTGTTGACTCAGGAATCGTTCAAATATTGCTTCGTCTGGTGAGAAAAAACCGGTGGACATAATAAGGGCTATCCACATGACGGATCCCATCCCGTCGGGCGGATTTGAAAGCGACCCGTGACGACAGCCCGTTCCCAGGAGTCTAGCATTACCAGTGATTAGTATAAAGCGCAAACACTGATCGCCCCAAAACTCCAAGGAATTTCGATGACTTCGTATCCATGGAATCTACTCCAGTGGGAGAATGTTCAGGTTCAAGAGGGTGAAGCCAGTACTTGAAAATATTGCAGGCAAAACAGATCCAGAGATGTTCGAGCTATCCACGCTCGATACCTCAAATTCAGGTTGGCAGTCAAGTCACGTCATGACAAAAGAAAACCTCCGATTGAGCCTATCATTCCCAAATTGTCAATCGCATAAAACTAATGCCCATCTCGGAAGGCTAAACGACAGGAAAAAGACCCTTACTTGAATGACGATTTAGCGAAAATGTTTTCCCAGAAAGCCTAAACCGTTAAAGGAATTCCATAACCACTATATCAACTTTTTTATTAGCTCTATTGAGTTTCGGGGCCAAACATTTCATCGTAAGATCACAGATGGGTATTGATTTCTAAAATCATGGAAAATTTTGGGAAACCCATGAAAGTACCCACTTCAGGGGTGTGGTGCGTTAGNGAGAGGGGCGTCGCGCGCGAAGGAATGTAGCAGGATGCAGCAGTAGGTAAGAAATACAACAACAAAAGTACTAATAGTAGAATTATGCATAAAATAATGATCGCATAGTGATTGAGCTGTATGAAGAACGCTAGAGCTGTAATAACGACGAATGAGTGGCTCGCGACAGCCGCGTGCGGCAAGTCGATTACCCAAAATCCTTCCTAACGCCCGTCTCCCCCCACTTCAGTAGTACCGCCACATAAAATTCTAGCAGGTTTATCACCAGTGCAGTCTCTGGGAGACCAATCACATGCGTATGCATGAAACTTTAGTTTAGAGTTGAAGAGTAGTATTTCCACCCTCCGCCTTCCCGACCCTTTCTTTCGTTTACTCAGCTGAATCCAGAGAGTTGCTATGAGAGTCTTCTTCTGAAAACATCAACTGAAGGACGTTGACAGTGTTGAGCATGGCTTAGCAACGCTATTACTATGATCCCCCAAATGTTTATACCCTTACCTAAGTAAAATTCAATAAGGGTCAGATCGGGGAAGATGTTTACCATATAGTCATCCGAACAAACAGTCCGAAAATACGAAAAATTACAGATTCATTTAGGATTTCTACTCCGGAAGATCCTTGAACATCACCCATCTTTGAACAAATCGCCCAGTACGTTTCCAACCCTTGTAGGTACTAACACCGTACCATTTTGATCATTATAAGTATCGCTGTTAAAACGGGAAACTTCCCTTTCTGTTCCAAATGGAAAAACGTTGGTGATTGAGCACAGCTAGAAACGTGCTCTTAAAAACGAAAGAAGACGTATAGTCTCCGAGAATGGCTGCACATGGATGAGCCGTGCATTAGTCATACTTTCGGCAGCATGGAACCGTTTGTTTGCACAAGGAAAATGCGCGATTGTGCCATCGGAATAGGATTTTTACGTATCATGTAAAGCCTAAAAGTGATGTCCCTATTGAGTGGTAACTACGGGTAACATGCAATATCTGGGAGTACGCTGTACTTTTACGTTCTGATAGTATCATCGAAATGCAAGTGGTTAGCTCCCCACACATGACCTCTAAATGTGGCATTTGAAGATGCTGTAATGAATCACTTGACCTCGGAAATCAAAGCTTGTTCTAACAATAACGATTGTTTATACTTTTCTTAGATAAATGATTGAAATAAAATTGGAGGAGGTATCTCCCTCATGATACCATTGAAACAGAAGCGTCAGCTTCTGGAAGTAGAAGCCACCTTCGCCAAGAGCTCATTTTCGTCGAGGGTAGCAGACGTTCAAATCTACAGGGAGATCTAGAAAGCTAAGAAACTTCAGTGACAGTCGTCAGCTAGAGTGCATTGAGTAACTAAGTGGCGTATTTTTCGATGAAAAGAATATCTTGAGCCGTCAC